ATATATATATATATATATATATATATATATATATATATATATATATATATATATATATATATATATATATATATATATACGGATATTGTTGTAATTCGAAGATCGCACGACTTTCGACACGACGAGTCGTATTTGCGGGAATACTGTGTACAAGGTACACATATAGATTAGGGTTGCATTCCAAAACGTTCTTTTTGAGAAAAATTTTACTCAATACCTACAATTTACGTTACATAAACTATAGAGTCTCGAGTAAAATTTCCTCAAAAAGGATGTTTTGGAACGCAATCTAGGTGAATTTAATTATTTCACGTATAAGATTTTTCGGTTCCAATTCGATATAAAAATTCATCATTATAAGCAGTGTTGAAATGTATCTAGATACATGTATCTTTTTGCAGTATCTAGATACTTTTTATGTATCTATATCTGTATCTAGTTATATTTTTCATTTCAAAATCTGTATTTATATCTAGTTACATTTTATCTCGTATCTGTATCTAAATTTATTATTTTAGATACAGATACGAAATAATTTATAATTTTGGTGATTTTATATATAATTGTTACTTTTTCACAAGAGACAAAGTTGTTTTCTATGGTGTAAGAATATAAGATGATGCATTCCGGTGGATACGCAGTAGCTACCAATCAGAAAGTTGCCACAAATGCGAAAACCTAATGGCTCTCATCAGACGTAACATAAACATAATATATTTTGTGGTAACTTTCTGATTAGTTCTACTGCCACCTCCATGATGTGCAATGAAACTCCTTGGTCGCGTTAACGTATATGCGTGCATTTATCTACAGTTCACGTCATGTGAACTGTAGGGAATTCGCGCATAATGTGTGAAAACGGAACGCAACCCTTATATTCTTACACCATAATTGCTTTATTGAGTGCGTTCAGCGAATTCAACAGTTGCACAACAGTTGAGTAATTCGTCAATGTAATTTGTCAATATAATTGGTCTAGATGTAGGAATCTAACAGTAAGAACCAATAATCGCTGATTGCTCACTGAGCGTTTTTTCCGCTGAACGCGCCCATTGGGTGCATTCAGTACTATAACTACTCACTAAGCACTCAGTGAGCTCTTGTATCCCATCGGCATATTCTTTTAGATCTAAAAATATGTATCAATGAAATGTAAGAGCTCACTGAGCGCTCCGTAATCGAAATATCTGAAAAGTATTTGAAGAGATTTAAATACATTCTCAAAGTATCTGTATCTACATCTAGTTATTTATATGAAATTCGTATCTGTATCTTTATCTAGTTACATTTTTCTTACTGTATCTGTATCTATATCTAGCTACTTCAAAACATGTATCTGTTACAACACTGATTATAAGTATAATTTCTGAACAATTTAATATACATTTCCACTCTTTTTTACATAAATTCCATTAACATCCCATATTTCATAAATTGAAAGGAGAAGGCTGGAATCGTTGAAAAGAGGCAAAAACGAATTGCCTTTTTTGGCATAGGACGAGAACAAATGTGCGCGATATTATAAATTATAAAGGCTCGAATAATAAAATATCGAAAAAGATGTCAATACTGTCTATTATCTCGGGAAGATGCCGGTAATAATCACAATAGCGAATGGTCAAAATGGTAATGTGCGTTACAGAGTCGTTGCCCTTGTGGACAAGCGCACGCTTTGTGCAAGTTGTGCGACGGCTATTCCTTTACGGAGCACCAGGACGAAGCGCTCGGACGACGCACGGCCACAATAGACACGTCGTTGAGCCGCCTTCCGCGAGCGGGACAATGAAACGCCACAAAGGCCGAGATTAACAATATTCCGTAAAAGCCGGCCACGAGGGTGGAAGAAAAGTCACTTTACGTGTGCTTGCTCTCTGAAGCTCCTCGTTGGCCTGATCTTTCCCGGAGATCAGGGGAATGAGTGTGACGCACTGAGTAAATTAAAAGCGTTTCGTTCTCTCTCAGTCCGCTCATATCACGTGAATATTTTCATCGTGCTCATATCATAGGATAATCGCCGTGAGATGCAAAATATTAATATATATCCGTGTATATGTCTAACTTTTAACAACGCGATCATTTTCTCAGATTTTCCCTACAAAACACTGGACTGACGTTGAATTTGCAGAGATGAAAGACGCGATGTCACGATGATCCTCTTAGAATCTCTGTACAATTTTATTTCCGCGTTTCGCGCTACGCGAGCGGTTACAGATGCCGCGTGACGATCCGCGAAGTAAAATAGTCGAGGACGTTTTCCCCGACGGAATAAACCGACGACGAGGTCGTGGCGGCGAGAGAATCCGAGAGCTGAATGCAAATCATTCCGCGGCGTTACCGCGTTCTTTTTGACCGTCATATAAGAGAACGGGCGCATTGTTCTTCTCAAGGTGTTATTACCACCCATGGGCCGGCTTGGCCCAGGAGGAGGCGAATTAACAATAAATAATAATGATAATAAAATGTCGGGGAATGCTGCAGCCTCATTATTAACCTAAGTATTGATTGTGAGACCGGGGCTGGCGATCACAAACGATAAGGCTCCTCTCTCGCTTATTTCTTCCTGGAAGGGTCCTCGTATCCCGCGCGGGCTATTCCCCCGTGATATTCCCCCAGGGCCCGGCCAGCCAAGCCAGCCACCCAACGGTGGCTCCGACAGACCGAAATCTCGATTCCTCTATGTCAGACCGCGCAGTCGGGGTTAACGTGGCGACCTGCCGCCACCTTTCTTCGGCTTTATTAATACTCGGTAGGTGGCCACCGGGACAATAATCGTCCGTGATTACCGTCGAAAACCTTCGAAATAATGCGGCGTTATAGTGATATACAACGGGAGAGGAGAATCCCGCCTCGCGGGACGCGATATCCTAAGAAGAAGATGGGAACGTAATTTCTCCTTGCGACGCGGACACTGGAGGCGAGATACTTTTAAATGGCAAATCAAGTGCTTCAAGGGATGCAGCTTTAACTGCGATAAGTATGAGAGAAAAAAAGAAAGAGAGAAGAAAAGAGAGTGCTTGTTGTTCGTCATCTCTTCATTATTATTTAATATTATTATTTAATATTTGAAAATCAATAACACGGTACAAAGCTGCACGAACAGAGTACATTCGTGTAGTTTTCAAATCCTTGAGAAGAGCCAATTGAAGGAAGATTGTTTCCACGCATATAATAAGAGTGTATTTGTGATAAGATAAGAGGATCGAAATAATAGGCGATTCTAACGATCAATTTTCCGCGCTGTCGGATCGCGAGCGTTCTCCCCGTGTGCGATAAAGCGTGCAAATGTCTGGTCCAGTCCGATGTTTCGCCAGTTCCCTCCTCGCACGTCGTCGTACACCTTTCTTTCGCGGATCCCCCTTCGCTTTACTCCTTACCTTCCCCGAGGTAGCCAGAAATAAGAAAGTGCTTTGGACCGGACGAAACGACACGGGAGAACAAATTCGCACTCGTACCTGCATACAGCGAAGAGAGAAAAAGAGAGAAGCCGAGGGAGGGTAAAGGGACAGAAAGAGAGAACGAACGCAAAGAAGAAGGAGAAGAAGAAGCGCGAAGAAGAGAAGAGGACGGATAAAGAGAGGACGAGAGACGTCCGAATGAGAGGCCTCGAAAGAAACCAATTGGAGTCGAAGGGTTTAAAAAAGAAGGACGTGCCGTGGAAGAACGGGCTGATAGAAAAGAAGGAGCGGCGAGGAAGAGGTGATAAATGGGAATGAGGATTGCTTGGCAAAGTGCGAATGGCCCGCGAGCGGGAATATAGATGGTAGGATGGATGGATGGACCGGCGGGAGCGTATGGACGCATGCATCGGACGCCGCGTTGCATCGGTCGGGACGAAATCCGAATGTATTCAACGCGCCGCGAGATTCCTCGCTTTCTCTCTTTCTCTTTCTCTTCAGCAGCAGCAGTAGCAGCAGCGACGAACGAACTAATCCTCCCACCTGTGCGTTTTTACTACCGCACTTGCCTTTTCATGCCGTTTGCCTCCTCCTCGCATCCTCCCGCCACTCGAGGCTTTTGAGCCGCGGGGGGTTTATTTGTGCCGAGTGCTCGGCGTCTGCGAGCCTGGTTTTCCAC